GCCACGTTTGGGGGGGTACCGTACATGGACATTACGTCTGAACCCTGTGGCCCAAGATGCCCCCCAGGCCCCCCGAAATTAAGATTGCTGGCGTGGCGACGGGAAGGGGGCGTGAGTGGACAGACATGTTCGAACCCCCAAGCGCCGCCTCTAATGAGATCCACATTGAGGTCGGGGGCGCGGGGGGGATCTAGAATCCCCCTCGAATGTGTAAGGGTTCGAATCTATTGTCTATCCACTGGAGATAGGCTCAGGGGGGCGGGTGCATCGGCCCCCAGCCGAGCACGGATAGCCGATAGGGAACCGGTAGCGCGCCCCTCCCCAGGACGGCAGGTGTGCTCTCGGGGGCCCATCGCCGATCTGATCGGCGAGGCATCGCCGATCCCAGATCGATGTCTCCCCCCTGGAGCTGGTCCCCCCCTGACGTCGCCCCTCAGAGGAATCAGGAGGGGAAAAACACACACAGACACAATGAATCGTCCATCCCCAGGAAAATATAGGTATGGGAAAATATGGGAAGTGGGGGGGAAGACAGAAACCCAGAACATATGGGAAAATATTGGGAATCGGGTTATTTGTGTCTATTTATTTGCGTGTCCCAGTTCCCCTTCAAGGAAAGGGGGTCGTGAGGGAAGCGGGCCCCGAGGCGTTCCGCGATTTCCTTGGCCTCCAGGGTGCTTCACGGGCCCCGGGGTGATAGAAATCCTGGGGTATTCTCTCCCCCCCTCGTCCATCCCTGTCTTCACGCATGCAGCGAGCTCGTTCTCTCTCAGGCCACGGCTCGGTGCATTAGTTTGCATGTCGCAGGTCGGCTCTTGTAGTGTTCCCGGTTTGCCTGGCGACCTTTTGACTTGCACAGCGGTCGAGGCCGAGTCAGTTGAAGGTCTGTGGTCGTACTCCTTCTTCTTGTTCTTCTTCCTCAACAGGGAATGTCCTGGGGTGTTCTCTTTCTCTCCCCGCCCCCCTGCGCCGAAGCTCACGTGCAGCCTCCGCGCGCGCGGCAACAGGAGGAGACGGAGGAGGATAATGACGGCGACGACTAGGTAAGAGCGTGCCTGACAATTGAACGGCGGTACGTGACGCAAAGAAGTGCTTGGAGCAAGAGCAAAGTTTGGGGAGCAGGCAGCAGGAGCAGTAGGCGGCCCTGACCTCGAGGAGGAAGAGGGAGGAGAAGGAGTAGGAGTAGGAGTAGGAGTAGGAGTAGGAGGAGGAGGAGGAGGAGGAGGAGGAGGAGGAGGAGGAGGAGGAGGAGGAGGAGGGAGGAGGAGCAGGAGGGGAGGAGAAGGAGAAGGAGGAGGGGAGGGGGAGGAGGAGGAGGAGGAGGAGGAGGAGGAGGAGGAGGAGGAGGAGGAGGAGGAGGAGGAGGAGGAGGAGGAGGAGGAGGAGGAGGAGGAGGAGGAGGAGGAGGAAGGAGGAGGAGGAGGAGGAGGAGAGGAGGAGGAGGAGGAGGAGGAGGAGGAGGAGGAGGAGGGAGGAGGAGGAGGAGGAGGAGGAGGAGGAGCAGGAGGAGGAGGAGGAGGAGGAGGAGGAGGGAGGAGGAGTAGGAGGAGGAAGCAATCGAGAGGAGGTGGCAATGCTGAGCACAGAATCAGTGCGTGTGGGGGGGGGATCCCGCTGCAGCAGCACCAAAAGCGGGTTCGGGAGGCAGCACGTTCGAGAAGCATTTTTTCAGGCGACGCGCTCGCAGCTTCCATATGCAGATGCGAACAGCCACATGCTTCTGCACATTGTTCATGTCTAACTCTTCGATAGTTCTTGGGTTTTTTTGGGGGGCAAGATCCTGCCACTTCTAATTGTTCTATCCTGGGCCTCTTCCTGGCCACTAGGGGGCCAGGAACAACTAGAAACGAGCACAGTTAGAAATGAGCACGATTAGAAATGAACGACGTGTACATTCGTTGGTCTTTTATCAGGGATCGCGCGCGGGGTGCGGACCCATCTTTCATCTCGGGACAATGTCTTCCAATCCAAAGGACCTCGCATCGTTTCGTCGTCGACCATCTTGGTTTGCCAGAGTGCCCAGTCCCCTTTGCATCGCACACCAGCTCAGCCCCTGAAGCGTCGAGATCCCACAACGCAGTGGATCCAAGCGTGCTTGTTCAGAACAGGTCCACTGTTATGCAGGGAGGTCAGACTGGGTCATGCGCCCGGGGACACTGTATGTGTGCATGTGCAGGCGTGAATGTAAGTGTATATGTTGGTGTGTGTTGGTGCTGGTGTCTGTCTGTGTGCGTGCGTATGTGTATGGGTGTGTGTGTGTGTGCCACCGACCCGTCTAGGGGGATAACCCTGTTTGAACTGAAGCTCACCTCCGAGCGCCGACCGTGCAATGCGTCTTCCGCGTGCCACGGTCTGACTGGACGTGAGCAGTGCGCCGCGTCGGTGGAGGGAAGCGTGAGGGTGCCTTCGTGCTCTCTTGGCCCCGCTGCAGTTACCAAGACGTGCCTCGCCCGACGAAGCAAGATGGTGATGGTGCGCCATTTGAATCTAGAGCAGAGGTTGATGCTGATGATGTGTTCGCGGTCCCACTTTCAGCCTTCGGGGCTGATGGTCTTCGTTAATTCCCGACGTTGGATAGGTGTGCGAATTCCCACATCGCCGACAGTGGCACAGATTGTATTCTGCACGTTTGGCGTATCCATCAGCCCGTTCAGAGGCCCTGCCCATGGGAGTTGACGGGATCGGGGACGACGAGACACATATAGTGAAATGCTTGACGCTTCGCGTATCCCCACCAGTTGTGGTTCAGCCTGCGGTCAAGTTGCAGCTCTTTTCGACGCAGTCACTTGCCTTGCCCTCGGCAGGACATCGCATCGTTGAGCCACCTTACCGCGTGTGCCGGATACGATGGGGATGCACTGGCATCGTCCGGTTGCCAGCCTGCGAGCGCACGCCAGTGGTGCGGCAGTGGAGTGGGCACCCCCCTTCCACGGTGACACCGGCGCTCAGCAGCAGGCAGCGCCCTCCCCCCACCCGTGTATCGCCGTGGTTCTATGCAGACCCGTTGATGGCGCCACCACAAGGACGTCTCGACAGCGGCCAGCAGCCGCCTACAGTCGTTACGGCTTGCAGTTGGTCACCGCCGGGCATGCTCAGTCCCGCGGGCTACGTGACAGGTGGAGTCTGGGTGCGCTCGATAGCCTTACCTCCGGTGTTACCTGATGTTCGGCTTCGCCAGGGGGTGGCCCTGCACCGAGTGGTTCAGCCTTCGTCAGTCCGTGGCCTACCCCCAGCAGATCAGTCTGCATCAGCCTGCGTCAGTACTTACATCGTTGTGCCCCCGAACCGCGAGACTCGGATACGTTGTGTATGAACTGACTACAGGTTCGGCTCTACCTCGTGCGGGCAGACCGGGGCTCATCTTTCTCATTCGAAGGACGGGCCTCAGCCACACCTCTGCGTCAGTGAGCCATGGTGATTGAGGCCATTCTCTGCTAGCTGCCCTCTTTTCTTGGCGCTGCCGTGCCCCGGCTGGCGCTCACTCTTGCTCCTTTTCTCTCTCTGGCCCTGCCTCCATTTGTAAGCTGCCGGTGGCTGGCGCCGCCAGGCGACTTCCCGCCGTTCCTGTTCCGTCTCTGTGCCGGTCGCCGCGCTCGTCCCCACCCGTCGGGATGCACGGCTTGACTCTGCGGTCGCGTTGGGCTGCTGGTGCCTGCCGCCCACGGGCGTCCTCGTCGCCAATTCGCCGCCGCGCCGTGGTGATCCCACCGCCAAGTCGTCTACGCCGGCCTTTGGCGTTTAATTCGGGTCATTTTGTCCCTCGCGTGTGCATATGCCACTGCGGCCAATTAGCTTCGTTCGCGCCCCGTTCGTTGTTGACCCGCTCCCCGACATTTCGCCCTGGATCCGCCGACCAGAAAAAAATATCCCCACCAGCCCATCCAGAAACGATGTCCAGGCAAGTTGAAGAGATCAGGGAAGTGGGGGAGCAACGTGAGGGACAGCCGATCCGTGCAAAGGATGAGGCGGAAGAGGAGGCCAGATGGATAGATGAGGGGGTGGCGAGGAACCGAGCGAAGGAGGGATGAGGAGAATGATGACGCTGGGTGGATGGTTGAATGCCGCTCGGATGCCTCTTGGGAGCCTTTTTGAAGCGTCTTCGGGCGTCTTGGGGGTCTCTTGGCGGTCAATGGGGGCTCTTGGGCGTCTTGGGTGCTTCGGGGTGGCCTCTTGAGGCCGCTTGGGATCCTCTTGGGGGGCTCTTGGGGGCCTGTTGGAGGCCTCTTGGGGCCTCCTGGGGGTCTCTTGGAGCTTCATGGCGGCCTCTTGGAGCCTCTTGGAGTTGGAACCATCCTGGGAGCCTCTTGGAGCCTCATGGGGGCTGCTTGGGGCCCTCTTAGGGGCCTCTTGGAGGCCTCTTGGGGCCATCTTGGCGCCTTTGGGGGCCGCCTGGGCGCCCTTTCGGGCCATCTTGGAAGCGATCGATAGAAGGGGGTTCCTTAATTAACCCTGCCCCTCGGGAGCTCCCAAAATAGCCGTCTGGACCCCTCTTGGGGCGCTCTTGGAGCGCTTTTGGGTGCTCTTGGGGCCGTCTTGGGGCCCTCTTGGGCCCCTCTTGGGGCCTCCTTGGCCCCCCAGTGGAGCCATGATGAGGCCTCAGATGGCCATCGGAAGCGAAAAGGCGAGAAGCCGAAAATCATTGGTTTGCCCTAGGTGTTTGAAGGATTTTGGCTTCTTGGGGGGCCTCCTTGGGGAGATAATTGGCCTCTTGGAGCTGTCTTGGAGCTGTCTTGGAGCGTTCTGAGAGCGTTTTGGAGCATCTTCGGAGCCATCTTGCGGCATCTTAGGCTATCTTGAGCCATCTTGGAAGTCATCTTGGACTATCCGAGGCGCTCATGGAGCCATCCTGGGCCATCTTGGACATTCTGACCGCTCGCGACCGGGCCCGTCCAGGTCCAGGGGAGGGGGTTAGGGGGAGGGGTAAACCCCTCCCGAAGGGGAAGGAGGGAAGATGGAAGAGGAAACCCCCTAAACCACCTACGCCCAGAGGGCTGGTGGGATTAGGCTCGGCTGGTCCATGGAGAACGGTGACGAGAGGAGGAGGAGGAGGAGGAGGAGGAGGAGGAGGAGGAGGAGGAGGATGAGGAGGAGGAGGAGAATGAGGAGGAGGAGGAGAAGGAGGAGGAGTAGGAGGAGGCAAACCGCCTCTTGGTGCCCTCGTGGGACGCTCTTGGGGCGCTCTTGGGCGCTCTTGGGACCGTCTTGGGGCCGCTTGGGGCCCTCAGATCCCTCTTGGGAGCCATGGAAGGACTCTTGAGGCCGTCTTGGAGGCTATCGATCCGAGGAGGGGGGTCCTAAATTTCTGCCCCCCCCTCCCCTGGGGCCATCAAAATAGCCTCTTGGGGCGCTGTTGGGCCGATCTTGAACGTTCTTGGGGCCGCTTTGGAGGCCTCTTGGGCCCCTCTTGGGGCCTCCTTGCCCATCTTGAACCCTCAGAAGCGCATCGGAAGCGAAAGCGCGAGAAGGCAAACATCACTGTTATTTGTTGGTTTCAAACGCGTTAGTTTCTTGGGGGGATCCTGCGGGGCTCCGAGAGCACTTGGAACCGTCGTGGCCCTCGTCTGGCCTCTTGGAGGTGTGTCTGAAGCTATAGTGAACCATCTTCTGCTATCCTGAGCCGCCTTGGAGGCCACCTTGGAGCACTGGAGGCCCCCTTGGAGCCACCTTGGGCCATCTTGGCCGCCCTGACCGATCGCGGCCCGCCCCAGAAATCGCAGGGAGGGGAGGGGGAGGGAATCCCTCCCCGAAGGGAAGAGGGGTTCTGGAAGAGGAAATAAAGAACTGGTTATACCACCTAAGCCCAAAGGGCTGGTGGGATTTGCTGGGGCATCCGTGCTCGCCCAGCTTCTGATCAAAGGCTCGCTGCGGATGCTGCAATGTGCGTGTTGCTGACGCGGTCTTGATTTGAAGATGCGGAGAGTCACACGTGACAGGAGACCTTCAGGAGGGGACAAATACACAGACACAATGAATTGTCGACTCCCACGAAAATATGGGAAAAGATTGGAAGTGGGGGGGAAGACGAACACCCAGATAATTTGGGGAAAGATGTGGAATCCTGGGATTTGTTTCTATTGCGAAGGCCTTACGGCCGATGCCGCCGACCCTGAAGGAGGACGATGAACGACGACGACGACGACGACGACGACGACGACGACGACGACGGCGACGGCGACGGTGACGACGATCGCGAGTCCTTGTTGGGGCCTTCCCAGGCCCTCTTGGGCTGTCCTGGGGGGCCTTTGGGCCGTCGTGGGGCCTTCCCAGGCCAGGCCTGCAGAACCCCAAGCCAGCTCCCTGGAACAAGGACTTCAGGAAGCTCGAGCAGGAGCTCAAGGAGACGCGGGCGCTGCTGGTGGTTGCGCGCAAGGCGGCCCTCGGCACGAAGGCGCCCGCCGACGACATGGGCCTCGACGAGTTCTCGGCCAAGGACGAGCACGCGGCGAGGCGCACCGAGATTACTGAGGAGATTGTCATTCACGAGCGGATGCTCAAGGACCTGTCCTCCCTTGGCCTGGAGGAGAGCGAGATGGCCAAGCTTGCGAAGGCGGAGCTCGAGAAGCTACGCGAGCAGGTCAAGCAGCTCAAGTCCCCTGGTACAGCTCACAAGCAGGCTTTGCAGAAGCTGGAGCGGGTGCGCAATCAGGTATCGAAAGGCAAAAAGGAGATCGA